TTTGCTTGTTAGTAAAATTTTCAGTTTTGGCTTTGAATTGGCCTTGGAGCACTCCAGATTGATTGTGACTTTCCAGTGTCATAAGAGTTGTGTTCTTTCTCTTGTGGCATTTTTTACCCTTTTGAAAAAACATACATGACAGCATAACAATGCTGCTTTCTAATCTCTTGTCATACACACCAGTGCAATTTCTGAATAATTTTGGAATGATTCTAATGTTATTAGGACTTTCTTGAATAAAATCATGGTTTTAGAAGACAATTTATTATGATCTGTGTCAGTGATGGTGAACCTTTAGAGCTTTCAGTGATAAAGCCCATTGTGGCACATATGCCCATGGGTTTACCACCACTGTTTAGGTAAGTCTATCTTCCCTTACATGGCAGAATATAAAGCCTGATGTATCATTTCATATGCCAGATTACACCAGTAGCTACCAGAGTGACTAACTTGGTCACTGTTCATTAAATTATTTACATAACCAATTTCATTTAAAGGTTGATCTTATATTGTAACAGTAGATTATAATTGTCAGTATTTTCTTAAAATACCATAATTCTAAGAAAAGAACAAGTCAAAATGGAACATGTTTACTGATAGAAGAAATCTGGGTTAATTCTCACATTAAAATTAGAGGGCCTGCTGTGCTGGCCCTGCCCCCCGGGGCATGCTGAGACAGCGAATGAGATTGGGCATGGTGTGCACCTGCAATCCCAGCGCTTGGGAGGCTGAAAACAGGAGAACCACTATGAGTCCGATTTATGTAGTGAGACCTTGAACACCCTGTAGACCCTGTACCAAATACATTAAGAAAAAAATAGTGATAATTGTGACACTTCTTTTCAGTTAGTGCTGTTTAATAGAGGTGCAACAGTATTTTGGGGTAACCAAAAGCTCATTAAGTAGATCTTTGTATTGTCTATAGTAGCAATTTGTCTTGATTATAGTCAAGGAGACAAATTAGTGTAAGAACTAAAATACCCTAATTTGCATTTCCAAGGTAGACATTTTGACTGCATCTCCGCACATTGAGTTGGAGAGTTTCACAACTCATATAGAGACCAGGGTTAAAAGTTGTTTTTACAATTTTGTATATGTAATCATGTTCCATCCAGATCATTTATGTGGTGGTAAAATCACCTGGCTTCAACTTTGCCATTTGGTGTAGATTATTATTATTATTATTATTATTATTTCATTTTATTTTTTGTGGAACTGGGGATTGAACTCAGGCCCTTGTGCTTGCCAGGCAAGTGCTTATTCTACTGAGCTATCTCCCCAGCCCCTCAGTGTAGATTATTGAAAAAGATTTATTTTTCTTTGAGGAAAATGTAAAAATGGAGCAAAGGGTTATTTTAGTTAAGAAATTTGAAGAGATAGCATTTTATAGTGAATACCAAATAAGCCAGGCAGATATTTTGCACTTTTTGTTAGTTTTTTCCTCTGAAGGTTCCACATTTTCTGCAGTTCTCAAATAATAGAAACTAAACCAGATCCATCTATCCTATATAGGTCATCTGTGTTAATCTGGTCAAAATTAACTTGGTAGACTGGAAAAGTACGCTGTGATCCAGTGCTTTGCTTTTTAAAATTCCCTTTAGATTCTTTGCCATAATTTTGTTTGAGCTTGGAAACTTTCATGTTTGAGATTTAGGATCTGCAAGGATTCTGTAATTAAGCTTTTCTGGAATTCTAGAGTTTTGTTTTTGCCTTGCATATATGTAATGTAAAGATGCTAGTGGTAAATAGCAAAAATTTGACTGTGGATACAAATGCATCTGTGACAAGTGTTACTTGTATGCAGTCTTCGGATCTCTGAGAAGCTGTAAATGTGTCTGTATTGCAAACAACTTTATTTCTTTGGATAGTTAAAAGCTGTTACAGGGTAAAAGTTTGGTGTATGGTAGGGTATCTTTAAGGTGGGTGGATGTTTTCTATTTGAAGGCGCATAAGATTATTGGCATTCCAACAGCATTTTTTTTCTTTCAATTTTTTTATCAAGCACCCAGTCAGCTTGAAGAGTCTCAAAAGGACCCTACCACTGAGAAATCAAGATGGCAGTCCACTATGGGGAATTGAGGAAAATGGATTAATACGAGAGTGCTGTGATAAAATACCACCAAGACAGGGTTCTTTTAACATGGATTCAGTGAAATGAATGAAACCTATGTTACCCAAGAAATGGACAGTGGATTTGACTTTCTAAAAGACTTTTGCATCATTTAAACTAGTTCATTTTTAATATTTGGAGAAGATGATAACACAGATGATAGTGTGTATGCCAGATTTTGATTTGTTTGAATATGACTTCATGGAATGTTAACTTTAATAAAGTTTCTAACGTTTAAAACATTTCTCAGTTTGGGCCTTGTTTTTTTTTTTTTTTTTCAAGTGAAAGTTTCATTACATGTTCAATTATCATGTTAATAACACTTTAATTCTTACAGTTGCCAAGCAGTATACTCAATAAAATGGTAACATGGAAATGATAATGTTTGAATATGTTTCACTTGGTTGATAAAGATTTGTAGTTTCTCACAAAACTATGGGAATTTTATCTGTGCTTTGGGATGGTTATTAGGTTAAAATGTTATTTTGTTCAGGTTTGTTTTAAATTTTGAGTGAATTTCCTTAGATTTCTTTGTGCTTTCTTGAAACACCTTACAAAACAACTTAATGAGTGGGTAATAATGAGCTTTTAATCTACCATGAGATTTAATGAACTTTTAAAGTGATGTGTTTTGTTGCTCTAAAACCTAGGATGATATAGTATTTGTCTGAATTATTTTGAGTTGATTGAATCGGTTTCTTTTACTTGTGCATTTTAATGTTATAAATAAAGTATCTCACAAGGGAATGTTCATTTGAGTATTTCAGCTTATATCTCTTTTAATGTTAAGGAAAGAAATGTTGGATTTATAGGGAAGTGTCCTTAGGGTATATACAAACTAGCTTAAATCTTTGGTGGGAATGATGGCTAGAATACATTGTATTTACATTTGAAATAGGATTTATGTTTTATGTTTTCCTTACTGGAAATTTAGATTAATTGAATTACACTATGCCCTCCATTACCATCTGTATTTGAATTTTAATTGCTAGACTTCCTTTTTTTTGCTAATCAACTAATACCAGTTCAGTAGGCTTTGATAGACCAGATAGATCATTATTTTCCAGTATTATAGAGAAGAAAGAATAGTTTAACTTAATTTGTTGTTACTTTGCAAGAAATAATCATACTGTGATAAATGTAAACAGTACCATTGTGCGCATGTCCATGGTCAGTACATTTATGGTGTTTTTTCACTGTTTGTGGTTGGTTGATCTTCATATAAATTCAAAAGGGATTTTGGATTTTAATTTGATATAAAAGTTAATAGAATTTAAAGTTTTGATTATAGTTTATTAGAGTCAATGCCTTTGCTTTTGTTGGTTGCAAATCTACAGTAGATTGCCCTAGCATGGGAATGACACATTTCTCTGATAGATTATAATGTTGAATTAGAAAAATTGATTGGATTTTTTAGGGCATGTGAATCAATGTTTACTGCTGTATGGGTGTTTGATGAGGACTTGTGAGTAATTGTTTCTCCCATTAGTAGTTTTGTTTCTGTATATTTTGAGGTTTTGATTTTCGGAAGAGTTTTTCCTGTGACATTACTTTGATAATTTGCTGTCAGATATGACCTATTGCTATAATGTCATGGTTGAAATGGGTCTATAGAGTTTGAGTTGAAACATGAGGGATGGGTTGGGATATGTACTCTGTTGGTTTTGGAGGTGGAGTTTCATGTTTCTTGATTTAAAGATCACTATAGTTGGACTGTATGTTTGAGTTTGAAGACCTTTGTTTTGCCTAAATCAGTATAATTATGAGATCATTGGTGGTTTAAGTTTTCAAGATTATATAATGGGTTAAATAATTTCATGAAAGTGAAAAGAATACTGAATTTCCTAAAAAAAAACAGGTTGTTAATTTTTGCCCCATGCAACTGAACACTAGGGAGGCGCTCTTGAGTTGTAAAATTTACCCCTGTCTTCCAATTGGGATGGAAAATTCCTCCTTAAATTTTGGCTTTATATGATTTTTAGGCAACATAAAGAAAGCAGACAATGTATTTAACTTATAAAACGGTGTACTTTTATTTAGAAGCTATTTTGCCCTTGGGGGGGCTAATTTTTTGAAAGATTAGTACTTAATATGGGCTTTAGATTTTCTAAGAATTATCCTTATTTCAAAATGGCTTGATAAAACACCACTTCCTGTCCAGGGAGGAAGTTATTTTAGCTCAAGGACTGAAATATTTAGCAGATCTTTAGACAAAAGGAACAAATTACATTTCTCTCTGGCTTAAAAAGGGTGCTTGAGCCAGAGGGGGTTAAGAAGCCCTTCCCCCTCCCTCTGATGGGGTGGTCTGGAGGGGCAGGGAGGGGTGGGGGTGGGGGTCTTTAGGCTCCCTGGGATGGAGGATCTTTTTTTTTTTTTTTTTTTTTTTTTTTGGTGGAGATGAAGGGGTGGGTCTATGGTACATCACCTGAGTTGTGGGGTAAATGTAGAGAGTGTCAATCAAAGGCAGAGCTCTCAGAGCTGGGAAGGAGGCTCTAGATGGCGGCTGTGCCTTAGAGAGAGCGCGCTCAGCTCCCTGCCTTCGCCTCACTTTACGCAACTTTCCCTAACTTTCGGGCAGCCTCAGGGGGCCCCCGCAGCCCCCTGCCTCTCCTAGTGACTTACTGGGGTCGATTTGAACCTTTTTAAGGGAGAAAAGCAGCTTTTGGGAGCTTTCTTTTTCTGCCTTGTTGGAAAGAAGCAGCCGTACTGAGAGCCCAGGTCGTTGTTTTTTCCAGCTTAGAAGCCATGGCGCACCTCCATTTTTGTGCGCTCTCTTAATGAGGTTTTTCTCTCTTCCGGACCCTTTATAGTTTTAATTATTGCTTTATTTTTTGATCAGCTAACATATTTGAGGATTATTTTATTTATTTTTCGTTTTTTACCGGAAGATTTTGCCTTTATTTTTAATTCTTTTGGATCTGATATTCTACCAGTAGCTAGGACTCCTGCTTTGGACATACTACATGGATCAGGTAAGTTGACTATCACTAGTGATAATTTCAAAGATTTATGTGTTAAAGTTTGCTTTATTTTTTTTTAAATATGAGAAATTCCTGGATGACGCAGTAAGATACAGATATTGTTATTTGTGTTCACTGTGTTACTTTGAGAAACTTTCCTTATTGATAGTGATGCTTTCACTGTTGGGCTTATCCTAATTTTTTTAAAAAATAGTAATATTTTGTTTTCATGCTTTCCGTTGTTGTAGTATATTAATGTCCTTAACATGGACCGGACTTCGTTCTTGTTACTAAAAACCATCCTTAGAAACCGGGACCTTACCTTTCTTTCAACTTTTGACAGTAAATACCTGGGCACAGGACTTCAAAGCAAACACAGATTCCCCTTCCCCCCTTAATATTTAAGAATTAAAAGATGATGAGAAATAAGGACAAAAGCCAAGAGGAGGACAGTTCGCTACACAGCAATGTATCGAGGTATGAGCTATCAACTTTCTTCCTTTTTGTCTTTTTTGGGGGGGAACCTCAGCTCACAATTGTTTACCTTGACAGACATAGATTGCTGTCTGTGTTATTGTAAGTATTTTTCTAATTTGGGCTCTTTTTTTAAAAGCGTGACCTTGAGATTGTTAATATGCCACACCCTAATTTTTTGGTAGCAATTTATGAAAGTTGAGTTGTGACTTAAGGCCTCTTACAGTAGTCAAAAGCTAAGGTACCTTTATTCAAAGGGGCCTTTTCTCTTAACTACAGTTTTTCTGTCAGTAAATTTCAGGTTTTAGGTTTTTGTGCTGCAGAAAAATGACCTTGTCGGTTTAGCCATTGCTGCATTGCACCATTTTACATACAAGGCAGATTTTTTCTTTGAAGAATCTCAGACATCCAAACTTGTAACTGAGGGCCATACAGGAGCCTTGTAGTAGTAAATTATAGTAAATAGACATTTGAGACAGTCATATGAATGAAAAAATGTACATTTGAAAATGAAATTGCAAAAAACACCCTTTGACTGATGCCTCTCAGTTTGTATTTTTATTGACTTATTTCTTTTGATATAGTTGGCATTTTAGGAAATTTTGATGATTTGTCAAAATCTTTACTTGGTTACAGTGCCTGAATTTATGAAATCAAACCTGTAATCACAGAAATCCTGGAATGCTGTTAATATGCTTCTGCTTTTTTTTTTTTTTTACTGTGATTATGTTTATAGTTGTATGTTTTACATTTTAACATTTTGAGGTTTGCATCTGTATGCTTATATTGTGACAGTGCTTTGTGAATGACAGATGTAGTATTTTATCTTCACATTTTAGTTGTTGTTCCTTTAAATTTATTGATTTATTTCGACAGAGTCCCCGGGAATGGTTTATCTTCTGAAGCTTACAAATGTACTTTTTCAAGTCATGATTTGTTTCCCATTCCCTGGAGTAGCTTATTAGTGACTTAAATAATAAAGCCTCTAAGACATTTTTGTTGTATGATTTCTGTATCCTAATTTTAAAAGTACATAAATACATTTCTTGATGTGTTCTTGTTACAAATCTTAATTAGCATGTGATTGGTTATTGGTTATGTTATTTTTTTTTTTCCTTCAGGTTCGATTTTTTTTTTTTTTTTGCATTTTCTATGAAAAGAATTGTTAGGCTAATGAATTTGGAAGCTTTGAGTACAGTTTGTTACGAATGTTTAATTTTGACCAAATATATTTTGAGTCTTGATTTTAAAATACACTCCCAAGTTCTGTTGCAAATTGAGTTGTCAAAAACAGTTTGGATGTTTTCTGAATAAATTCCCCAGGTAATTACTAGGTTTTATATATAGGACGAAAAAACTTACTGCTAATGCTAAACTGATTTTTCTGGAAAGTAACAACAGTTTCAAGAAATAAAAACCGCAGCTATATTTGACAGATTACTAAAGATTTTACATTAAAATTATTACTTCCTTGAGTTTATGATTTGCATAGTCTCACATGAGTTTTGCCTTTCTATCAAGGTTTGTGATTAACTTCAGTTTTCACATAATGCCCTACCTTATTGGAGCAGTGCTATTACTTTTCTAGTATTTTTACTCTTGGAAAACTATTTGTAAGTTGTCATGTATTTGATTACCCACAGTGGAGTGCAGCAGAACAAGAAACGTGTTTTTGATGCCTTATTCCCAAGTACACTTGGAGTCATATACCTGATGAATGTCCAGAAATACTTGAGACTCCTTGAAAATGGAGTTGTTTTTAAATAACTTCTACTCTTTGAGTTGCATACATTACTAATACACGTACCTAATTGTGACATCACTTCCTTTTAAGATTGTAAATCCCAAAGGTTGTTACATAGGTTGTTTCAGTGTAGTCAGTTGTTACTACTTGTAGAGAGCTGAAGTTGAGAGGGCTGACTGACACTGTATCTGGTGCTTGGTTTCTGTGTCAATTTTTCTGTAAGGACCAAAGTTTTAATGGCACAAAGAGTAGTGTTTAGGAGATGCCACAAAAATCACCTTGCAGCCTGAGTCTATGGAAAGGAGTTTGTAGGTCAGGTAAACGTTGGTCTGAGAAGTATTTTAGGAAACAGAATTGAGTGTTTTAAGTAAAATGCTTTTATGTTTTTGGAGCCAGTACAGCCTTCAGAGTTGTTATGTAAGTCTTATTCTTTTGACATTAACGCTTAGCTGTAATGTTCTTTGTATATCCCTTTTTTCATATTTAAGTCTTTCATAAACGGATTTGAAAAATTGGATTTTTGAATACTAAAAAACATTTTTAAGTGATGGACATGTAGGCACACATTTTATCCAAATTTGCCGTTGAGCATAACTTCAGAATATCAAAGAACGACACTGGGGAGAAGTAAATGTGCTTGGAACTTCGTGTACCCCGATTTGTGTGTTCTAGGACGCTGCGCTTGCAATTTAAATTTGGTTTTTCTCGAAATTGCCCTCGAGCCAGTAGATTGGTAACCTGAGGTGCGGGCAGAGGGCCTGTCCTCTCCGCTGTGCTCAGAGGCTGAGAAGAAGGGGCTTAGTGCAGGGCGTGTGGATTGGGACGGGCAGCCATTTTATGACGCTGGCAATACTTTAGAAATCGGGAATTTAGAGGAGGCTGAAAATACACGAATCGAAACCTGAAATCCAAAGCATTTTTACTCTCCTTCGCCCCTTTTTCGTGCAGTGGGACAGAAATAAAGGGCAACTTGGTAATTAGCACAGGCAACAACTCAGTGAGCCCTTGGCAGCTTGGTGCAGGTCCAGCTCAGTCACAAAATGGCTGTTCCTTTGTGCCGCAGCGCTGACAGACATACTGCATTGCACTGTGTACTCGCCAAACAGCAGGAAGTTGCCGTGCGGAGTTCAAAGGCCGGCCGGCGCCGGCGCAGGCAGCTGATTGGCTTCGCGCGCGGCTGGTAACAGCCGGGTCAACAGCGGCGCCTCAGACTGGGCCCGCCCCGTGACGTCACCGCCACGCCGCGGGGCGGGCGGGCGCAGTGACGTGACCGCGTGCGCGCGTCGCGTGCGTCGGGCTGGGAGGAGGGTCCGGTGCTTTCCGGCAGGCGCAGGTTTTCCGGGTTCTCTGGTTGGCAGTGATCTGCTGTTCTTTCAGCGTCCACGCCCTACGGGGTGATTTCCTTTGCGCGTTCCTGGGAATAGTTTTCTGTTTCAATAGCTGTTTCTACTTTTAGAGACGAAAGGCACGAGCCGGAAATTCTCGAGTAGAAGTCCTAGTTTAAAACCAGTTTTCGCTTTCCCGTCTCCTACCGCAGGGGCTTCTCGTTTGTACCGTTCAGTCCTCGTTCTGCGCGAGGGCCTGCCGAGCGCAGCTCTGTCACTGTCGGCGACGGGGCTCCGGCGGGGCGCGCTCCGATGCGCCTCGCGGGCGGCGCCGCCCACCATGGCCCCTAGAGCCGGGCGCGCCCCGAGCCGGCCCGCCGCCCCGCCGCCGAGCGCGCGCGCGGCTCCTTACGCGCTCTCCCGGGCCCCTGATGGAGACGCTCAGGTCAGTATGTGTTCAGCGCCGGCTGGGGAGAGCCCTCCCCAGGCGTGGAGTGACTGACAAGTGAGAAAGCACCAGGCGACCTAGCGTGCGGAGCTGGAGCCGCGGCCTCGCGGGAGGGCCTGCCGGTGCGCGCCTTGGGGTTTGAGGAGGGCGTAGTTTACCCACGACGCCTCTGTGCCTCTGTAATTAAGTCGCAAACAACGAATTTGGACACAAAGAAACCTCCTGTGGTAGCTAGCCACTGGCAAGTTTTTTCGGCTGTGGTGCAATTGGCCCTCTTTCAGGGTTAAGTAACTACACGTTGAGTAAAACAGCTTTGAGAGGTATGAGGACTTCTTCAATGTAGGCAGAGATGCTTACTTAGGCATGTCTCACATTTCTGAGTGTGAAAAATAGTGAAAGCAGTCCCTATAATAATAGCTATTGCCTGGGCGTGGTGGTGCATGCCTGTAATCCCAGCACTCAGGAGGCTGAGGCAGGAGGGTCCTTGTTTTTTTTTTTTTTTGTATTTTAGGAAAAGGTCTAGGGAGTGTTCAGGGTCTCACTACTAGAACTGACACTCATAGTGATCTGCCTGTTTACAGCCTCCCAAGAGCTGGAATTACAGGCACACGCGCCACCACGCCCAGTCTTCGTTGTGGTTTTGAGGCCAGCCAGGGCAACAAAGTGAGCTCAAGGCCTGCCAGAATTGCATACTGAGACCCTGTCTCGAAAAGACCATGAAAAAAACGTATTGATTCTCACAATCTAGGTTCACTGATAAAATTCTTAGGAAAATTTCCGCAAAGTACCTGAATTACTTAAAAGTTTCAGTGTGTTAAAGGCAAGGTTTTCACCAAAAATTAGTGACCTTAAGAAACTGCGTAAATGTATATAGTCTGTTTATGTAGCATCCATTAAGACTTAATTTTGAAGATGAGCATTAAGTAATGTGGTTTCTTAACATTTTAAACTTACCTCCCAGGGTTTCTCTTTTTGCTCTGTATTGCAACTAAATTACACATACATTTTAAAAAGTATATGTATTTATTTATTTTTAAACATTTATTTATCTTGTGTGTGTGTGGCCAGCTCAGCCCACCAGGGGGCGGGGCTGGCTGGCATGTGGTGCTG